TATTCTCTACTACTAATAATATTCGATCTTCTCTAGTACTGGTATTCTCTACTGGTGGTAATATTCGATCTTTTCTAGTACTGGTATTCTCTACTACTAATAATATTCGATCTTCTCTAGTACTGGTATTCTCTATTGATGGTAATATTCACTCTTCTCTAGTACTGGTATTCTCTACTGGTGGTATTATAACCCTGTGTAGGAACTTTCCATACAACACGTGTAACTTTTTAACAATTTTGCTCGTGTTCCAAACTAATGAATAAGTTATATCCGATCTCCTAGTATGAGGCATAATCAGGTTGAAAGAAAAAAAATATTTCATACATAAATTTATTTTAATTCCTAATAGAGGGCTTTAGATGAAAATACTTCCAAAAGCATAATAAAAAAGTATGCATAAAATACCTGACTCAAGCCATAATCAGGAAAAATCACACATTATGTTTTTATTATGTAAGTTTATTTAAGTTGTGAAAATATTAATGAACAGATTTTTATGCGACTTGACACAACGATTCTACATTAAACAGTAGTGGGGAAAGGATATTTCCTTTCATTATGCAAATCTACAGCACCTTAAAATCTATAATTGGCCCCAGGAACAATCAGAAACTTTCTTTCCAACTGAGGATTTTCACGAATAAGCTTCTTTTCAGAGCTAGTCAGTAGCCTCGTAAGCAAGAACCACATCTTTACTCAGTTGTTGTCTTCAGTAGATGAATTCTTATATTTAAGAACCAAAATATTCTCTCAGTGGGCGTGTTCGGTAAACACATTCTTGTATATAAGAACCAAAATCTTCACTCAGTGGTTGTCTTCAGTAGATGAATTCTAATATATAAGAACCATATTTTCACTCAGTGGTTGTCTTCAGTAGATGAATTATTATATATAAGAACCATATATTCACTCAGTGGGTGTCTTCAGTAGATGCAATACTTTGATTTCTATTGTCCATCTTCATTAGTTTAAAACCTGTAGATGCCTTCATAAAGTGGATCTTCATTATGAAAGGAATAAATCCTCACTGGTTCTTCTCTGTAGTTGTAAGGATTCAGTGAATCCTAGTTATCTTCCTAAAGTGGATCTACATTATGAAAGGAATAAATCCTCACTGGTTCTTCTCTATAGTTGTAAGGATTCACTGAGTCCTCGCTATCTTCATGAAGTGGATCCTCACTGGTTCTTCTCTGTAGCTGTAAGGATTCACTGAGTCCTAGTTATCTTCCTAAAGTGGATCCTCACTGGTTCTTCTCTGTAGTTGTAAGGATTCACTGAGTCCTCGCTATCTTCATGAAGTGGATCCTCACTGGTTCTTCTCTGTAGTTGTAAGGATTCACTGAGTCCTAGTTATCTTCCTAAAGTGGATCCTCACTGGTTCTTCTCTGTAGCTGTAAGGATTCACTGAGTCCTTGTTAATATAGGACTAAGAGATTTTGAATACCTACATTATTTAATCTTAAGTCCATCTCTTTAACCAATGCCATCAGAATTCATAGTCGCAGAGATACAGCTAATTTGTTCTATTGACTTACATTAAGTTTGATCCGTGGTTAATAATAAACGCTAGTTTCACAGTCTGTGCATTATACTCTGATCTTCCTTACAGGTGGTTAGCCACGACTCAGTTCCAGGCCACATATGCTAGAAGAGCATTCCCATGTTTTGACGAGCCCAAGTTTAAAGCAACCTTCCAAATTACGCTGGTCCGGTGGAAGAATATGACCTCATTATCCAACATGCCTATTAATAGAACAGTTGTCCGGTAAGTGTCCAGCAGACTAAGTGTTGTCGTTAAAGTTTCTTACAAATCTAACTTTTCACAAAGTTCAATTATTTACGAAGAAAAATGTGTTCTTTTTCTTTTACTGTTTCAATTTACTTTCATATAAAACTGTTTACAATTATACTTGTCATAAGATATTAGTATTATTATAATGAGACAACTCAACACAATAGAAAGCATCTTACAGCAATGTGTCACTGTGAACATTAATTCAGTAATAAAATACCTTGTAGTATTTCAACGTGTCAGTTGACAGATTACTTTAGTAATAAAATACCTTGTAGTATTTAAACAACGTGACAGTTGTAGGAATATATTAGAAACAAAGATCAATTAACTGCACTTCAAGTTACTGTAGATTATCAAATGTATCAGGAACGAAACAAACCAAGTTTGTTAAAAATTATTAAGTAATTTGCTGGTTTTTTTAAAGGCTACTTATAGCTCAGTCGAAAGCGAAATGAAGGCCAGTTGATTCACAACATAAAATTTATGTTAATGCACAGCATAAACCGATTTGTAGGTCAGTTGGTGTGCATCATAGAGTGATATTTTGGTCACTAAGTGTGTATTTGCAAATAGAAGAGTGGATTACACTTTCTTCATCGTTTATTCCTTTGTAAATAAGGTCAGTTTCAACATGAATGTTATGGAAAGACGAAGCGAAACTCGACTACATTTTACAAACACACACATTTCTTCTCCGTGTATTTTAAGTATGAATACTACGCCTTTGCTCTTGTTGTTGATAAAGCAGTTTAGCCTTGTCTAGTCGGAGATTCGGGGACAACAGCTAAATTTACTGTTTTTAAGACGAAGATATTTTATTCTGTCCATCGTTCCATTTCCGTATAAAAAAATATCAATTGTCATTTCCAAAATTTGGGTTATATTGTTTACAATCTAGACAGTGCAACAACGCATAGTTTACAATCGTTAGGCTGAAGTTGATGAGAGAAGATACAGAGAGGTATACATACATAGAAAAAAGTGGACAGTAGTGGACACTAATAGATTAGGTATACTCAGAGAGGAGATACAGACAGATATATCTATGTACAGAGAGATAGATAGACGTTAGTGGACACTGACAGATTAGGTATACTCAGAGAGGAGGTACAGAGAAGTATATCTATATGCAGAGAGAGAAAGATGGACAGTAGTGGACACTGACAGATTAGGTATACTCAGAGAATAGATACAGACAGATTTATCTATGTACAGAGAGAGAGAGAAAAGGATAGTAAATACACACTGATTGAACATGTAATTTCCACCATTCTCTCTCTCTTTTACACTCTACATCTTATTCCTTTCTATTTTCATATGTTTAAAACTTCATAATTTAAAACATTAATCGTATGAAGCTAATTTTAGTTTTAGATAAGCTCTCTTTGGGTTAAAATGTGTTTAATTTTAGTTAAACTGTGTGTTTAGTTTTTTAATTAAACTGTCTTTAGATCTAGCTAAAGTCTATTTAAGTCTAGTTAAACTGTGTATAGTTTGTAGTTAAAGCCTATATCATTCTAGTTAAACTGTTTTTAATTTTTAGTTAAAGTCTATTTATTTCTAGTTAAAATGTATTTAGTTTGTATTTAAATCGTGTCTCTGTTTTAACATCCTTGCTGTTCATGATAACTTATTTGACTAACCTATATTTTGGGGGTGCTGTTTACAGGGGCGATGACTGGGTGGCAGATGTTTACCAAACCACAGTTAGAATGTCTACATACCTGCTAGCTTTTATAGTCAGCGATTTCAAGAGCAAGTCGAACGCTGCAGGAAATGTAGGTTATGGTTCATTATTTACTAACACATTATTAGAACAATAATTCAGTTCTGTAAACTACTTGTAATAACACATTATTAGAACAATAATTCAGTTCTGTAAACTACTTGTAATAACACATTATTAGAACAATAATTCAGTTCTGTAAACTACTTGTAATAACACATTACCAGAACATTAATACAGTTCTGTAAACTACCTATAATAACACATTACCAGAACATTAATACAGTTCTGTAAACTACCTATAATAATACATTATTAGAACTTTATTTCAGTTCTGTAAACTACCTATAATAACACATTACCAGAACATTAATACAGTTCTGTAAACTACCTATAATAACACATTATTAGAACTTTATTTCAGTTCTGTAAACTACTTATAATAACACAAATATTAACTTTCCCCCTAGATTTGGCCGCTCGTAGGTTAATATTTACTTATAAAAAGTACTCATCAACCTGTTTCATAATTCATGTAATGAAAATTTGCAAGAAAAATATAGTATTCTTTTTAATCATCAATTTAAAACAAATATTTTATTCATTTACTCGTATTTGTCATAAGCAAGAATGTAAACTTATTAACTTGCATCGTATATTTGTTTCATGCAGTTTCGAGTCTGGGCCCGTCCTGAACTAACTGACTCACTTGCCTACAGCTTACAGTTAGGAGAGAGGGTTTTAAAGCACTATGAGGGTTATTTCAACATTAAATATCCACTACCTAAGACAGGTAAGCTGCATAAATAAATAATTGTTTTTGGGAGAAATGAGATAATTGTTTATATTAGTTTCTAAACATAAAGTCAAACAATTTTAAACAATAAGCAAGGAGTTGTTGTTGTCGAGATCCCTCTGGAGTTGTTGTTGTTGTCGAGATCCCCCTGGAGTTGTTGTTGTCGAGATCCCTCTAGAGTTGTTGTTGTTGTCGAGATCCTTCTGGAGTTGTTGTTGTCGAAATCACCCTGGAGTTGTTGTTGTCGAAATCACCCTGGAGTTATTGTTGTCGAGATCCCTCTGGAGTTGTTGTTGTCGAGATCCCCCTGGAGTTGTTGTTGTCGAGATCCCTCTGGAGTTGTTGTTGTCGAGATCCCTCACTAGAAATCAGATCATTGAAGAAGTTCATATCTACACTTTGATTTTATAAAAGTTAGTTACAAAATGGGAATCTCCAATAACTTTTGCTCACTCTCTTAATGTACTCGAATAACTTTCTAACACTCTCGTTATGTACTCCAATAACTTTCTAACACTCTCGTTATGTACTTCAATAACTTTCTAACACTCTCGTTATGTACTCGAATAACTTTCTAACACTCTCGTTATGTACTCCAATAACTTTCTAACACTCTCGTAATGTACTCCAATAACTTTCTAACACTCTCGTTATGTACTCCAATAACTTTCTAACACTCTCGTTATGTACTCCAATAACTTAGGGTTCTTCTATCCTTCTTGGTACAGTTTAAAATTTGATAAATAAGACAGTGTGACACACGTTAGAAGGTTCTTCTCTTCTCCTTGGTACAGTTTATAACTTGATAAATAAGACAGTGTGACACACGTTAGAGGGTTCTTCTATCCTCCTTGGTACGGTTTAAACTTGATAAATAAGACAGTGTGACACACGTTAGAAGGTTCTTCTCTCCTAATTGGTACAGTTTATAACTTGATAAATAAGACAGTGTGACACACATTAGAAGGTTCTTCTCTCCTCATTGGTACAGTTTATAAGTTGATAAATAATACAGTGTGACACACGTTAGAAGGTTCTTCTCTCCTCCTTGGTACACTTTATAACTTGATAAATAAGACAGTGTGACATATGAAAAAACCACTTCTTTTCTTCTTAGCTTGCATATCCAGCATACTGACCATGCGTGTAACATATCTAAAGTGAGATTCGTTTCGAGGTTCCACACTCCAAATTGTTTTAATAGTTATTAGCACGTTCTCACCAGCCGCCGTATGCAGTGCAGTTCGACCCCTCTTATTCTTAAGTTTCTATAATATATCAAAAAAACTGCTGTGCTGACCTTGACGCTCGACAACTAACGGACACAACCCACTTCTTTATCTTTTCTATTGCTTCTCCAAAGTCAACAACTTCTGTCAACCGATGAAGTTACATTACCGCCTACTTATGAATAATGTATTTTATTCTTGTTTTTCTTTATTTCCTACTGTTTTATTTGACCCCGTTCACAGTGGCTCAGCGGTAAGTCTGCGTGCTTACAACGCTAACAATCGCGTTTTGATCCTCTTGTGAACAGAGTACAGCTTGTCCATTGTGTAGCTTTGTTCTTAATAACAAACGAACGAACGAATTTTTTTGTAATTAAATATATTTACTTTAACTTTTAATCTTTTATTAGATTATAGTGCAATTGTTAGTTTAGGTAATTATTTATTTCAATGTTGTGCTACACGTAAATCATACAGTAAGATGTTATCTTAATTTACTGGTACTTAACCTACTAGCTTTAAAAGTGTCTTTCGAACTTTGGGGATAATTTCGTAAAGGATAAAATTCAACTATTTATAATATCTGTAACGTAAAGTTAGAGGGTCTATTTCTTATTCTTTCGAATAGATTTGGTCGCTGTTCCGGATTTCAGCGCAGGCGCCATGGAGAATTGGGGAATCGTTATCTTCCGGGAACGATACCTGTCGTATGATAAGAAAGTCTCATCAGGAAGAAACAAACAGAACGTTGCAAGAATTATAGCCCATGAACTTGCCCATCAGGTAACTAAGTGTAATGAGAAGGGTGAATGTATTGGGATATGTCACAAAGCATTGTTAAAAGTTACCCATCAGGTAACCAAGTGTAATAGGAAAGGGTAAATATATTGTGATATGTCACTAAACATTGTTAGAAGTTACTCATCAGGTAACCAAGTATAACGAGAAAACTGGGATATGTCACTAAGAATTGTTAGAAGTTACCCAAGTATAACGAGAAAACTGGGATATGTCACTAAGAATTGTTAGAAGTTACCCAAGTATAACGAGAAAACTGGGATATGTCACTAAGCATTGTTAGAAGTTACCCAAGTATAACGAAAAACTGGGATATGTCACTAAGAATTGTTAGAAGTTGTAACCAAGTGTAATAAGAAGGGTAAATATATTGGAATATGTCACTTAAGTGAATTTGTCAATGAAAACCTCTCTTATTCATGATCATATCGGTCATCTGTATTAATAAATCCTTATCGATGAAACCGGACCGAGCGTGACTAAGTGGTTAGCGTGTCGCACACTGAAGCTAAGATCTCATGATTTGTTTTCTTTTTAACGAAGAAGAAAAAACTCGCACCGTCACATCGAGCCACAGCCGTGAGTGTGTTATAAGAGCAACGGTCAAAATCTCACAATTCAGTCTGGCAAGAGTAGCCCAAGAGTATGGCAGGGGGGGGGGGATGGGTTGGCCAGCTGCCTTCCCAGTGTGTGGGCTTGACTTTCCTATGGTTCATCACTGCAAAATTAGGGATAAGTAACGATGGTAGTACTAAATCCTACAAATCGAAGAATTTATGACCGAACATATGTCAAGAAATGCTTTTCTTGAATATTCACAGGAAATTTCCACGTTCCACATTGCTCCGGTATAAAAATTCACAAGATCGACTTAGTTGATAAGAACTGTACACTTGGATTGCCGATAGAGAAGCTGTAGGTGTAGAATGTACAAGAACTGTAGACTTGGATTGCCTATAGAGAAACCGTAGGTGTAGACTATTCAAGAACTGTAGACTTGGATTGCCGATAGAGAAGCTGTAGATGTAGAATGTACAAGAACTGTAGACTTGGATTGCCTATAGAGAAACCGTAGGTGTAGACTATTCAAGAACTGTAGACTTGGATTGCCGATAGAGAAACTGTAGGTGTAGAATGTACAAGAACTGTAGACTTGGATTGCCGATAGAGAAGCTGTAGGTGTAGACTGTTCAAAAACTGTACACTTGGATTGGCGATAGAGAAACTGTAGATGTAGACTGTTCAAAAACTGTAGACTTGGATTGCCGATAGAGAAGCTGTAGGTGTAGACTGTTCAAAAACTGTAGACTTGGATTGCCGATAGAGAAGCTGTAGGTGTAGACTGTTTAAAAACGTGTTAAGAGATAACACCAAGTCGTTTCTTATCATTTTGTTTTACTAATGTACTGTAGAATTACACTTGTATTCATTACATATATTTTATTGTTTTTTGTAAACCTGGTAACGCCTAAATGTTGGGACGATCTTTGACTCTTGTCTTGTAGAGTTACACTTGTATTCACTACATGTATTTTCTATAGTGGTTCGGAAACCTGGTAACGCCTGAATGGTGGGACGATCTGTGGCTGAACGAAGGTTTTGCGAGCTACGTAGAGTACCTGGGAACGATGGCTGTGGAGAAAGATTGGAAAATGGTAAGTCGACCTGACGAAATACTAGCGTTTGAAAAGAAGAAAATAGTTTTATAACTTTTACAGAACTTTAACTGTACTTGTGTGGTTCTGTATAAAGAAAGACGTTATGTTCTATAATACAACTGGTGTTAAAAGAATGAATCATGTTTTAGGGATAACGTTTGATTTTTTTAGGATGAACAGTTTATAGTGAACACTCTCCAGTCAGTTATGGCTTTGGACAGCTTAAAGAATTCTCACCCGATTTCTGTGCCTGTAAACCATCCAGATGAAATTTCTGAGATTTTTGATGGAATATCTTACTCAAAGGTTTGTAAGTTAAACTTCTCTATCTACGCTTTTCATCGTTGCTGACGAAAGTGTTTTAACACTGCCTTAATGAAAATACTCTACTTTAACACTGTGTTAATTAAAATGGTCTAATTTAACACTGTCTTAATGAAAGTGGTCTACTTTAACACTGCCTTAATGAAAATACTCTACTTTAACACTGTCTTAATGAAAATACTCTACTTTAACACTGTCTTAATAAAATACTC